TTAATTGAAAGTTAGAATGATAACAAAAATCTTGACATAAGGATCAAATGTAGTGTCTATTACCTGTCATGTTATTTTTTATATAGCAGGCATACCCCAAATTAACTGCGAATCAATTTAAAGATTATAGTAAACAAAATCAGTAAACATATAAATAGGCCTAGTGGTCTACTGTGTATATAGGCCTACAAGTTGATAATTGATTTGAGTTTTGAATTGAATTATTCTTCTAAATTTTATTAAATATATTCGAATACCTTTAATATAGCTCCAAGTTATCTGAAACAACGACTAGGCCTACATATTTCGATGTGAGTTTGCGTCAGGAAAATATCAACGAATGTTTTGCCCTACCTGACGTGTTATCCGAATACTCAGTACCGGTACGTCCATGTCACAAACTTGCGAAAAAAATACGCAAGTTCCAGTGGAACCTAGGCCTACTGAGATAACATAACATGTCAGGTAGGGCAAAACAACACTCCTATACTATTATAGTTGTCTCAGACGTTATTAATATTTTTGAATTGATTTCCCCTCTTCCATTGATATGAATGCATTATACAAATGTACACATTGTTAGTCATGCGGCACTCATTATAACTTATATAAGACGAATTGAGTAAAAACAAACTTGATTGATTAATTGTTGTTTCAAATTTTAAAATGGACTTCCGGATTTTTCAAAGAAAAATTTAAACAGATAGGCCTATTCATTAATTTTTGTAAGAAAATTAAATTACGACATTTTCTAAGTAATAAGTCCACATGATTGTCCTTTCCTAATCATGTCTAGTTCTATCGAAATTTGATTTCAATTCTTCTCGTAGGAACTAAATTAGTATGAACATTTTGTACATAAAATATTATTTTGATACTGTAAATACCAGTAACTTCTTATAATTTAATTAAAACACAAGTGTTTTATTGATTTATAGTCTCAAACATTATTAATTTTGAACTTGAAAACACGACATAACAGATGTTGAAATGTTTATACAGAGTGAATAAAGTTGCTTTATATGCCAATATTTTATATTATTCAATTAGATTAAATTGGTCAAGTGATTTAACAAAGATATTTGCTCGAGGTATGAGTACAATTTATAATATAAGTGACAGCAAGGATGTTTTTAATAGGAATTCAGTAACGAAGTATTAACATTTTATAGCCAAGGTCAAGATTGTATTTGCAGATTTTCAACAACAGTAATTCGAGACTTCCACACATCATCACTATTATAATTTGTATTGTTATCATCCATACTTCCGATTGGAAGTCAATTTGTAAAATTTTACTAATTAAAAAAATCGCGCGCGCGCCACTAAACAACGAACAAGTTTTTGTAAACATCCGACCGTCGGATGATACAGTACTTCTTCGAATACCATTATTAATGGAAAATGTAATTATTTGACCAATAAAATTTAAAGTTTTTCTCTGCTAAAAACAAAGAGGGGCTACAATATTTATTATAGGCCTAGTACCACATTCCTAAATAATAATAATATGCCTACTAAATAATAGGCCTACTAAAAATGAAATACATTTAACATCATTTTAAATTTGCGAAATAAAGTTTGAATATATAATATCATTTTACATGGAAAATCAACAATCAAACACCACACAATATTTACAGCCGGCGGCCACAGTAGGCACTACCAATGACAGACATTGTCAGCCTAAATTATTTTTTGAAAAATTAAATTTTATTTCGTCAAATGATTTATGGAATGTTTGATATGCCATTTTAAATAAATGTTAGAAACTTAAAAAATGTTCATAATTTGTACGAACGTAACATAATAGTATATGTCATAAATATATAATATGTAATTCGGGGCTTTCTCCGTTCCACATCAATTTTCAATTTTCATAAGGTCCATTATAGGCCGAATTAAAAAACACATTGATATAATATACTGTAGGCCTATGTAATTTCACTCGAACGAAGAGTACCGGTAGATGATCATCACCAATTATTGGGCAAATGGGATTTTATTCGAAAAGTCAAATAAGGTAAATTAATATAGACCTAGTGGTCCTATTGTGAAATTTTAATCATTTACCGCTGTGATATTCAGTCCTCATCATGTACAAGTAAATCAGAAACACATAGGCCTAAACATAGGCCTAAACTGTTAAACCGTTTTCTGTGTCTTATCACTGTCTCTTATACACATCTAGATGTGTATAAGAGACAGATTACATAGTGCTCTGTTTCTTCGATTTATCGATAACGTAGGCCTGATCTTTAAGCCAAGCATTAGGCCTCTAACAACCCGCAACGGATATTTCTTGCTGTTAATTGAAGATCCCGGCATTCATTTAAAAGTCTTAAGCAACCTCAACGAGACAATAAGATTAGTATAATTGATTCTGTAGAGCAAGTAACACTATAAAAGAAATACTAATGAGTTCGGACCTAACTAGGCCCAACTAGGCCTATAGAAAACGGAAACGGCAACTTCGGATGCGGTAACGATTAGTCAGTACTACTTCAGAAACCGTTTCGTTTCCCGCCATTTCATTTTACCAAACAACTATTGACTCCGTATGCCTATGTGATGCAACAATCAAATAATAACAGACCTAAATTATATAGCGTTATATATAGCTACAAATAGGCGCTTTTTTTTAATTTTTTTTATCAACATTTAGATTAATGCCTATGGGCCTATCCGCTAAACACCAATTATTCTCACGGTATTTAAAACCCATAAATTTATGCTGGTACATAGGACTGTTGTAAGTTACAAGAAATGGAGAAATATCCAGATTACTTTGTTAAAAGTTATGAACAACTTTTCCGTTAATAACAACCAACATTTCCATATTGTGTGTAATACAAAATTAGTACAAACGGAACGTTTTCAATCTCTCTAGTATCAGATTAGCAAAACGCCTGTGTAATTCTGATTTAAATAATATGAAGACTATGGCTTAAGGATTATGTCATCGAGTTAATAACATAAAATATAATGCCAAATGGATCTTGAGTAGACTTTAATTCTAACGATAAATATTTACTATAGGCCAGCCTAAAGTATTAATAAAAGGAGCCAATGTTATTTTTGAAAATTGGAGTGGAATGATATACTTATGAAATGATGAAATATGTTTTGTTATAAGACAGTAAGTATTTTAAATAGATATACGTCCATATCTTTAAAAAAAATAAGAAGAAAAGGCCAAGACAGAGAATTCTTTTTCATGAGTTGGGAAAGTGGGGGGTAGGCCTCGTCTCCTCTGACAATGGTAGAAACTCCTGTCAACTTGTATAAGCCATTTTGAATACATTCTAGATTTTGATGTATATACTGACTTAAGAATTTTAAATCATATGCCCTAATTATAAATGCAGACCAACTTTTTCGATGAAAATGTGAATAACAAGTAAATAGATATGTCGTCACAGGAAGTCAAATTAATCACGTGATCAACACCTATTATATTACTAATTCAATTCAATTCATTCGTTATTGTCGTTAAGGTAATGTTTCACGCTTATTATAAAAAGTGACTCGTTTACACTTGGCACTGGTTGCTATAAACAAAAACAAAAAAAAATTAATATGATTTAGTAAAGTTGTGATAATTAAATTACATGTCCAGATGATCCATCGTTTGCTTGGACGAATTGCCTTTATTCAGTGACGGTTTTAAGCCGTTGGCAGATTGTGTTTCTGCATTGAACCAGGGAGATATTTACATCTCCCTCATTGAGCCACCTTGAACAGAATATGCAAAATAATATGATAATAAATAGGCCTATTTGAGAAAAAAATATGCACCCATCAGCACTGAACCGGCACCTTTCAATTACCGTTTGGATACTCTACTCTGAATTACGAAACCAAAACACCATCCGGTTTTCCTATAGGACATGTTATATTTTTGTTCTCATTGTATTGCTTAATCACAGTGAATAATAGTTAAATTAAATTATTACGAGTGGAGGTGTTTCTCCATACCTAAGTTCTATCATGCAGAATAATTATAACACCGTGATAAAGGCCTATCAAATTTCCGTTCTGTAAGTTGGTATAATGTGTTGATAGTAGTGAGCCGGCATAACTTGTATTACACGGACCAAATTAAGATTATAAACAATCATTAATTGTTCATTAACATTTTTAGGTTTTCTTCCTTATCGATAACATATCACTAGAAAATATTATCTTGTTACTTTGATTTTTTTATTAGTTTATATTCAAGAAGATTGATAGAACTATACAATTCTCGCCTTCGATTACAGTATTTCTTTTTCTTTTAGGCCCTATTTACTGTTGTATTGTTAACACCATCCAATAGTTACTGATAAAAAAATTATGACGCAAAAACTCTATTATACTAGTATTATAATATAGAATATTTAATTACCGTAGACTCCATATCCATTAAGAATGGAAATGAAAAGGGACACATTAATTTTTTTATATAAATGAAATAATACATACGTTTGTTGATTTTTTGTTTTTAGAATTTTTTGACAAAATAAAGAAATGAATACATAAGCTATACTAATATCTTCGTATAACCACTTAAAAATTGTAGGCCTATGGGTATATGGGTAACACCACTTAGTCATACGTTCATTTTAGCTAGTTACCGTAATATTAAAAAATAAAATTTAATTGACCTAAAGTTTGGAACGTTTCTACTGTAGTCTTATTTTTTTACAAAATATATGGAAGACTAACATAGTGTTTAGCGCCTCCTATTGTGAAAATAAATATGAGAACGGAAGTTAATTTTGAAGCGCTAGTAATTTCCCATTCAGTCAATGTTTGTTGGAAGGCGGAGTTTTCAATGCTCTGGTAAACAAGTAATTCCTTGAGGCTAACTCATTATCTTCAACGGAGGTTTCCATAACGATCGAGCGAATAAGTATGTGACGTTTCATAATACGCTCAGCTGATTGGCTATGTTTTGTCGATTAGGTGACTTCCGATGGTTTGTCAATCAATTACAACGAATAAAAGCTGTCGAGGCCGTCGCTTGAGTATTTACTGCTGCTCTTATCCACTAATGAGCCGGGGTAAGGAGAAGAAGGCGTTCTCATGTTTTTACTAAGCAAATGTACTTAAAATCAGTATTTTGTATTTAGGATACGTATGTCTTCAGTTTGTATATGAAACATATGAGATTTCCTCGTCGACTTCAGTACTTCTGAACATTTTTTTTTTAAACTTCTGTTCGATTTTTGGTTGGAATTATAGCGTAAGTAAGCACTTCAACGGAAATTCATTCAAACTCAACTCATTATACTATTATTACCGTGTAAGATGAAAATGCCAACTCAAAGCGGTTTAGATCAACAGGACTTCATGGCCCAGAGTCGGTCTCCAAAGTGGGTTCGAGAGCGTTTAGCCGCCAATGATCTGCTAGTTTTGGACCTCCGTTCTGCAGAGGAATATGGTCAGTCGCATATAGACGGAGCTATTCATCTTTCCTTGCCTGGTAGCGGAGGAATTCTATTACGCCGTCTTCAGAAAGGTACAGTGTCTTTCAAATGCTTCATTGCTGGAGAAGAAGGAAAGGAAACTTTTGCTAAAAAGTCAAAAAATGTTCCAATAATACTGTACGACACAAATACCACAGACTTTAATGCGAATACGGATTCAACTTTCTTACTGTTATTGAAGAAGTTAGCTAAAGATGGCTGCCGATCATATTATCTCGAGGGTGAGTAAATACTTATTACTTCTAGCTATTTACTAATGTTAATTTATGTCTTATATCTTTGTCTATTGTTTTACTAGGGATATTCCATATAGGTGTGAAGTTTATCCAAGCGGCTTATTTATACTATAGGCTAATTACACATTCAAACTGTTACTAAATCGATAGAAAGGATCCAACACCAAAACTGGACTCGTTAACAATGTTTACAATTTGTTTCAAGTGGGCGATCACAGTTTCGATTTTCTCACGCCTTTTTAAACTATTGATTTGAGGGGTTAATTGAATAGAAACAATAATTGTATTTCTATAAACGAATTTTCTTCCACGACCTCTTTAAGGCCAGTGGACAGCTGCAAGTTTGATTTACTTGAAAAAATTTACTTCCGTTCTAATGGTGAAATCTAACACCAGACCGCGAAATGCCAATCTCGGCAGGGGGTAGTTGAAACTATTTCGGAAGTCTCGAATTTGATGTTTTACAGCTTTCTAGTTCGTTATCAATAACATTTTGAACTGTTTTCTTCTTAAAAATATATACTGTATATAGTTAATACGGGTATATCAGAGGTACATGGTAAATCTTATAGTCAATAGATTATATTTTTTGTATTTTGAATTTTCAGGTGGATTTGCTTCCTTTGCCTCTCAGTTTCCTAATTTGTGTGATAGACAAGCAGAAAGCGATTCAGAGGATGAGCCAATGGCAGAAGGATTTGGTCGCTTACGAATTGATTGTGGAAGTGGCAGCGAAAATGAACAAGAACCACCTTTGGACAATCTTTTACCAGTTGAAATTTTACCTTCATTATTTCTTGGATCTAAGAAAGATTCCGAAAACCTATCTATGCTTCAAAAACTCAATATTAAGTACATTTTAAATGTGACACCGAATATTCCTAATAGTTTTGAGAAAAATGGACTTATAAAATATAAGCAGATACCAATTTCAGATCACTGGAGTCAAAACCTTGCTGCTTTCTTTCCTGAGGCAATATCATTTATAGGTAAGTTACGGTACTTACTCAAATTCATAAAAATGCCAAACTTGAAACAAATTTAAAATTTACGTTAAAAGTTTACAAGACAAAACTGATAAAAATAATAACAAACGTAATTACTTTAATTGGAACTTCAAAATTGAATACATTGCTTCAAAAACTCTGTTGGGAAAAATAGCTTGGAAAAAAAAAAAGTCAATAATAATAACATTACCGTTAAAGAAGTGTGATTTAAATGTTGATTATTTGTTCACAAGTTTTGCTTATCCACGGAAGTAACTTTTCAAGGAGGAAATCTCTTTAAATGAAGTCATTTTAAGCTTATTATTCTTCCGGAAGTCAACTAAGTTTAGGTTGTGTTAATAGAAAGGATATAGCATTTGATCACAGGATGTTATAAAGGAAATATGTGTTGTAGTCTGCCTAATCTATGCCACTTCCACTGCTTTGGTTGGACTGTTATTATTGGAGATAATATTATTATTATTTTTCAAAACATAAATAAAAAATAAATTAAAAAATAGAATTAAAAATTTAATAAGATAAAATCATAAAATAAATTTAAAAATTAATCTACTGTTTCAGTGTATTGTTAATGTAAATTTTGAATGTTTATATTACAGTAGTTACTATAAATAAAATAATGAAAAAATATTATATAGAAATATACATAGGTATATATAAATTTGATTCCACTGTCTTTCAAGGTAAATAAAAAGAATAAAAATATTCTTACTGAAATTTAATAAATTTTATAAAACAATAACTTGGTATTTTTAGCTTTACGTTGGTTATAATGAGGAAAGCCTGTTTAGACATGTCTACTTCAAAGTCTTTGTTCATAACGTAAACTAAATTATGTTGATGATTCAGTATAAAAATCAATATTTCATTTATTGTTCAATTCTGTATGCATTTATGACCCTCATAGGTCACATAACCACTCATGCGTAACAACATTTATTCTTTGTTCTTGCAGAAGAGGCTAGAGAGGCCAAGTGTGGCGTATTAGTTCATTGCCTTGCCGGTATTAGCAGATCCGTAACAGTAACCGTGGCATATCTGATGCACAAAATGTCTTTATCTTTAAATGAGGCATACGATTACGTGAAGATGAAGAAGTCAAACATCTCACCTAATTTCAATTTTATGGGACAGTTATTGGACTTCGAACGCAGGCTGAGTAACAGCCCATGTCGAAAGGGTACATGTCAGTGTGCTGCAGAGGGCCGTAAATGTTACAGCCCGAAAATTTTAAATCAATACACGGAAGAGATGCATTTCACGGACAATTGTCCCACCACACCGAACAGCACAGAGTGCTCGTCCTCCACAGAATTTGACTTTACTTATTTATCCTCATGAGGACTGGCTTACCTCGGTTTAAATAAATATTCTAAATATAAGTATATATATAATATATATAAATATATATAAAATATGATTGGTGCTTATTTTGTTATAAGTTGTATTCTCCATCTTAAAGATGACTTTTTTGTGAATGCAACTTTGTTATTAAATTTCTTAAGTGAAGGTTGAACTTTACATTTTTCTATACCTGAAATGAAACTATTTAAAAAGATAAATTACCCATCGTTCTGCATGGTTTGCAGACTTTTGTATTATTTTGATCTAAGTTTGATTCAACCCACAGCAAGAGAACAAAATCATGTAGTCTAAGCAATTTTTTGGTTACAAATTTGCTTAAATGATGCAAATTAATTACTACTCTATGAAACAAACAAACTGTATGCAATACCTGTTAAGGGGGGTTTTGTAATATAGGGATGTAATTTATATCGATTTTTATATGAGAAATTGAAATTTTGAAGAGATTTGATACTGAACTTGTACTTAGTTTGTAAACCACCATCTTGACATTCAAGGATATAAGGGTGTGAGGAATTAAGGGTCAACTCCTATTGCAGGGCACATCTGCATAATGAGCATTCTGGGATGCTTCTCTGTGGGAGAAGTATGTCCTTGGCAACTGTTAATGCTGGTCATCTTCTACAAGCCTATACCTATGTGTTCCATCTGATGTATATTGGCGACATGTTTTGATAGCTTTATTAAAGGTATGAAGAAGCCATAGTCTGCCCTGTGTGCCGGAAATGGTATCATACAGCACACTCTGCTCTTAATTATGAAATATTTTTGTAGTAATCAAGATGGCAAGAGTTGCACCCAAATACTCTTGTTATGTTAACCTATATGAACCACCCATACCAATAATACACAGAAAGAATTTATTTTTTGACAAAAAAAAAACCCACAAGAAAGCAATTAATATATTGCAAATCCTCTGAAAAAATCAGCTTTTAGACGAAAATATTTAGGATGAATATTACATAAAATGCATTTGAAATTGAAGACAAAATTACAAATACAAGTGGTAATGTTTTTTGTGAGAGGATAATATATGTATGTATTAATGATCTTTGTAGTATATTTTGTACAGTTGAGATGCTCGAGAAGATGAAATAAACAAAAGAGGAAAAAATTGTAATAGCGTATCTCTTATTTTTATGAAAACGTGTTGGAGTTAGAAGTATACCAGTGTAAAACGGGAGAAATGTTCTGTGGTAGTGTGATAATGATTGGATAATTGAGGTGCTCTGCATTTTGTCCGAAAAAGATTGTTACCATCATCAAAATTTTATCACATGGCACTGTGGGTAGATATCTATCTTGACGTATATTGGCACATAAATAATTATTATTAGAATTGCATTTTGTCACGTGAATGTGTATGAATTGTGCAGAGAATCGAAAGCTGTATTAATCTTGTACAGTATCTATTAGCATTTGGCTATGATGTCATATTGATTATAAAATAGCCATGTAAAATACACGTAAACTTGCTCATAAAACAAATCCATTGTATTCGAGGATAGAATTAAAAAGCATGGAAAAAAAATACTGATATTTTAAACATTCCCGACCTCATAAAGTCGCATCAATACGCAAGTAATAATATGTCTTGTAAATTACTATCTCATAAAGAAAGGATTGTTGGTGTCTTTGGACAAAGTTTGATTCGGAACTAAGATTGCATTTGTGACATTTTCTATTTGATAAAAACACAATGACTATAGATACACACACTAAAGATACCACATGTAGACAATATTGTGTTTGATTTCAATATTTTGATATTCAGGAAACGACCAATGGAATTTTCACATATTTATACAACAGTATTCAAATATCTCTTTAAAAACTTTATTTTTATTGGATTAGCACAATTTCACGTCAAATTGAATTTAAAATTTATAAGCCATCTTATGTATCAACAAAGTACAATTGTATAACTGGTATGCTAAAATTTATTTTTAACATTGAAATTTAAATAAACCTGACAGGAAATTATCATAGTGTATTATTGTCTTTCTGTGAATTATCTCACTGCGGTCTGAAATGATCATCTCACAGAATCTCAACCACACTTATATAATTTATACATCCACTACTTGTTCATTTTATACAAAAACCTAAATTCAGACCTAGAACAAACCAGAAATACATAATGCATTATATTGTTACTTACTATTCTCAT